CGCGCACGCCGCTCCTCGCAGTACGGGGCTGTGGCGGCCTCTTGCTTCTGCGTCCCGGTCAGGACCCTGAGCGGTGGCCGCTGTAGGAGCTAGGAGCCAGTGTCCGCCTAGCCGCCGCCACCCTCGCTTCCTGCCTCTCCGTCCTGGGCTCTCCGCGCGGTGCAGAGGCGCCGGGCTGGGAAGGGAGAGGCACTAGCGTGAGGTTCCCAGCCGATGGGCAACCCTTGGGCGCGCTGAGGGGCCGGGCTACTAGCGGCTGAGGTAGGTGGGCGCGCGGGGGTTTGTCAGACTGGCCGGGAGCAGAGTCCGGGCGGCGGGCGCTTGTGGAGAAGGCAAGGAGTGGGCGAGAACGGGGGCCTAGCCCGCCGGTGAGGAGAGGTCTCCGACCCGTGCCTGGTGAGGGGCTCTGGCCTAGCCCAGAGCGAGGCCTCGGACGTAGCCTGCTCTTCCCCCAGGTTTGGCGCTGTTACTGGGGGGAAATTCCTCCTGCGGCGGGGGAGGGGATCACCCTTTCTTCTCTTCGAGAGGTCACAATCCGCAGTCCTCCCCTCACCACTGTAAATAAAAGCCTGCCGCCTTCGAGATGGACGTCTACATGGAGTGGCCTGTGGACTTCTGCAGCCTGCAAGACTCGTAGTGCACGGACAGCGGGCTATCAGTTTCGGTTATCGGGGGTACACAACCCTTTCTCTAGTGTGGGTGTGTATCTTCCACAAAGTTGTTATTACTAGTATGTTAATAATCGCTTTCGGGCCAACAGGTAATACATTTCTAAATGCCTCATGTTAAGAAAGGATTTTGGCACCGGAAAACTGTGCCATGGGCACAATTAAGGAGTAGAAAGAAGACAAAGAAGGCCGTTATTTATGTTCTTTCCTAGTATCAAAACTTTCCGTGGTGGGGCCGGATGCAAGGCTACTGGCATTTGTTTTCGCTTTTGCTGAATAGGCTGAGTGATTGAGATGGATCACAAATGGACTTTAGTTTAGAATTATAAAATCGTATATGATTCTATATAATCGTTACAAGCCAAATGACCTGAAATAAATCTCTGAAAATTATGTGTTACTTGCTCTTTGGAAGAGTACGAAACTTGAATTTTTTTAAAGGAAGGTTTTCTCCGTGTTTAAAAAGCTTCTTGAATGCTTTGTGAATTTACTAGAAATAGTTATAGTTCTTTATGTTGGCAATAATGACTGCCACATTCAAGAGAAGGGAAAGGAATTATTACGTAAAGAACGGTTTAAACACCCAGTAAAACAGCTTCAGGTATGGCAAATTTTAGCATATGCTTTAAGAATTCTAATTTAGTCATAGTTAAAATATATAGAAACCCCTAGTTGACTCCCTTATGTTCAGTGAAATAGTTTAAAAGGTAATTAGGTGGAGAAGGCTATAGCTCAGTGGTAGAGTGCATGCTTAGCATGCATGAGGTCCTGGGCTCAATCCCCAGTACCTCCATCAAAATAAATAAATATCCCCCCCCCAAAAAAAAACCCCATAAAAATAAAAAGTAACTAACTTTTGCTAGTCTACACAGTCTGTTCTGTACTCTGGGATTTCATTCAGTCCAAACTTTCTAGATGGAATTTCATTCAGTCCACACTTCCTAGAAATGTAATATTCATTCTGATACTGTTAAGATACGTGACCTGCATGCTTTCAGTGAACTCGGTATTATAGAATGGGAAGAGTCTTTCAAGAAAGAACAGTTAGCTGGCCAGCCCTGCGGTGGGAGTAGGGAGGCATTATTAAGTGTAGGATTAATGCTTGTATATGCACAATGTGCATGCAGACATACAAATTCTGCACGCGTACACGTGTGTATAAGTATAATGGTTGTGCACATAAGGATCTAACATGGGTGCTGACTCCCATGTTAAAAAGTTGAAATCTGAAAGTAAAAAAGCATTGGCTTTAGCTGTTTCTTCTTTTAGTTAACTATTTACATGGGTAACAGTAATAGTAAATTTCTTGTCTACTTATTTGTTGGTTACTGAGTAAGCAGAATACTGTACTGATTTCTTGGCAGTAGCAGGGAAGGAAAATACAGAACATATAGAAGACTTGCCCTTTAAAAACGTTCTGTAAGTCAATATCTTGTTGTCTTCCCTGAGATATACAGCTTTACTCCTGTTTTGTGTCCTGGTGCTTAGAATAATGTTTTGCATGGAGTTGGCCCTCAATAAATGTGAGCTATGTCAGAAATAAATTAACATAATATGAACCAAATGCATAAATTCCTAGAGAAGATGAAAGGAATTGAAGATGGGTGAATTTTCTTTTTAATTGAAGGTCT